CCACCGAATCTGTCTCCATCTACTGAAACTCTGTCCTCCATAGAAACTCTCTCCCCCCATTGAATGGATTTACCAACGAAGTTTGATGTGAGTATAATAAACACCCCTCCAAACAAAGACCGCCTTCGAAACACAAGTGAGTCACCAGACAAGCAATGTCACATTCCTAGACAGAATGACCATTTCGTTGGAAGTTTTGAGTCTAAAAGAGTTCTTGCTTTCTGGAAGGAGAGGCATCTTCAACTTGGTGATGAAATCCAAAGGGCAAGGGCACGTTTGGAATTTGTTGAAGGCCAAATTGAAGATGACAAAAGGCAGGCCAATCTGGATAGGGCGAAGTTGCAGGCGTAGACACAAACGACTTCAGAGTGTAGTTGTTCAAAAATGCAAGAACTCATCTAATGCAATGGAGTCAAAGAAGCGTGTGATGCAAGCTGGATTCGACTACTTCCGGTCTTATGCAAAACTCGTCGTACCCGGGTTTGATTGGTCATCTATTACCGTTTCCGATGTTAACAAATATACTCAGCAAGGGAAGTAACCATTTTGGTTATCTTGTTTGAGTAGAGGCAAATCAGAGGAATTGGAATTTTCGTTAAACTCTGCTTCAAACCCATTTTGATGCTTACTACTATAGAAGATTTCAACCTTAATATTTTGATGTCTTTAATTACGATAACACGATGCAAAGTGCCCATCTACTTCAGTCATATGTTGCTGCCATGTCCATTTTTTTGTGATCACGTATCAGATTTAGACATAGTTGCATCATATGCAATGTTGTCTTTATGTATTATATGTTAGGGCAAGGTTTATGGAAAAGTATGTGTGAGTGCTTTTGTGACAAGGTTATGACATTATTTTGCACCAGTTATATATTGTTTTTTGTATTATATGTTAGGGTAAGGTTTATGGAAAAGCATGTGTGAGTGCTTTTGTGACAAGGTTATGGCATTATTTTGTACAAGTTATATATTGTTTTTTGTACTGGTTCATCTCCTACTATTGCTTTATTTCTTTATATTATATGTTTATGACATTCGACATGATAGAAAATATATTACTGATTCCCAATGCAGCGTCATATTGACAACTTATTGAATACTGGCGACGTGTTTAAAACTCTAGGTGCAGGTGCATATGGACAACTTATTAAATATCTCTGATGACAGGACCCGTCCAGGAATTCCTCGGAACCTGGGACGGACCCCGCCTAATTACCGACATCATCCCGATGCCGGGCCCATCTACTAGAGACTGAGACTTCCTACCAAAAATTTGGCAGAGTCTCCCCTGTAAATTGAACATTTCCCAATTCAACCTGCTCAAAGTTTACAGTTAAAAACAACCAACCGGCAGCATGCTTTACAGGCAGTACAATAATTTACAAACAAGGCCTCCAGGCCTTACAAAATTTAAACCCTCAGTGGGCGATACAGAGCATATCTACAGAATTCAAAATACAACAGAAAAATCGTCAACTGAAAGGAAAAGGTACCAAGAGTCTCTACAAAGACTCCAACTCCAAGATGCACCCGGTCCGGCTCAACTGCAAAGCTCAGTCGCTACTGGCTGGGGGCGCAAAACAGAAAGTTGTGAGTGGACAAAAATCAAGTTTAGTTCAAGTGAAAACAAAATAGTGTAACCCCCACTTTTGTTAAAACATGCAGGGACACCAAAAGCACAACAAAACAGCATAAACAATACATGCATACCTACTAACACATTTATACCGGATCTCAAATCCGTAATCCGTGAATAATACTTCACGAAGCCCACCACTCAATTTAAGAGTTCCGAGAGGTTAGACTCTCATAAACATTCATACATATATATATACTCAATCTATGATGTAACAGGATAATAATAATAATAATAATAATAATAATAATATTAATAGTATATGAATATAACCAATATTTAGTTGTACCGGGGAAACAATCCAACCGGGTGACTGTTTGACTAGTCCACATGGCAGAGCCATTCCTCAATTCACCATGTGTCTAGGGAACGAGCCGTCCAACTGGGGAACGAACTCTCAGCCAGCACGTACAACCGACACAGTCAAAGCTTGTACGCCTGAAATACCAGTCCTACGCGCGCAGACTACCCCAAATCCAGGGTCCACAGCAACATCCCCTCAAGGATGTTCTGAGTTCTCATAATTTCAAAAGTACTCAGTATCCGTAACCAAAATCAGATCAGGGGAGGTACATGAATTAGTGCTTAACGCACTCCAACCAGCAAATCAAATATTACCTTACCATAGCCCATGCCAACCATCACGTACCCCATGCATAGACGCATGTAAATATGTTTTCTCGGAATTCAAATATCATGAATAAGTTTTATAAAAACCTTAAACGTTCATTCGAGCATATAAACATTTCTTGATAAACAAAATAAAACTATATGCCATATTTCCATAAATGAAATCATACTGAGCTTCAAAAGAAAAGTCCACTCACAAGTAGTCCCACACAGCTTGACCCTTAGAGGGTCCCGCCTGCTGCGTATGCTGGGTCGGAGTACCTGATTCAGAATAGAAAAATACGATGAACGTCAAGCGCTTCAAAACAGAACTTTAAAATAAAACCCTAGCTTCCCGGGAGTTTCTATAGGTTTGACGAGGTCTAGGATACACGTCCTATACATTTGGTCCGAAACGGACGATTAGATCGCTCACGATCGCACAATTGG